AAAGGCTGGAAATGCAGAGAACACCCCCCTGGCACCACCCCTGTGGGTTTGTGGTGCTCTCCAGCCATCAGGGCCAACCCCAAAACACAAACTGAACACCCCAAATCTCCACCAAACCCAAACTCACTGCACRGGCACAGAGTTCTTCACGTCGGGGAGGATCACCACCACGTTGCCATCAGCATCAGGTTTGTGGGTCACCTCTGGCTTCTTGGCCAGCATGTCAGCAGCAGTCCAGGCCGCCACGTTCTGCTGCAGCCCCCCCATGCTGTTGCCCTGGTTCATCAGAACAAAGTTGTAAAAGGTTCGGGGTCTCAGGTGGGTGATGAGTTTCTTGGTGGTTCGCCCGTCCACGTCGACGTGCAGCCCGTTGTACTGGATCTGGGGAGAGGAGGAGGAGGAGRCTGAGCAAGGCTGGCATTGCTCCAGCTCCTTTGGTGCCTTGGGATTTCATATTTTTTTTCTCTATTTCCACGTCTCTGTAACCCTGGCATTCTCCAGTGTTTAACTCTATAGACAGTGCTGAGCTCCTGCTCTCCCATTTTGACACAAAACAATTCCTCTGCAGCCCCAAACTCAAGGACACCTCCCTGGGCCAGGCCCCAAGAGATGGAAAGAACAGAGAATTGGGGGGAGCCAAGTTGGAGTTTTTGACTGCATTGGCTGCAGCTGCAATTGGAGGATTCAGCCCCGATTTTGTGCAAATGGACAAAAGTGAGAAAGGGTGAAAAACCCGTGAGCCATTGCCCATTGTGGGTGTGGGACTGCCCTGAATGGCCCTGAAGGCTCTGCAATAACAGAACTGCTTTGGATTCTCTCAATTCTGTCCAGTTTCTGGTTTAGGTGAGCTGGATCAGGCACCATTTCCTCTCCATCCCTCTGATTTTCATGGAGCAGTCAACCCCGCAGAACTGGGGAAAAACTGCAAATTGCACTTGCCTTGTATGGGGTAGGAGAGTTGTAATTCTCAGGGAACTCCCAGCTCAAAAGCACAGACGTCTTCGTCACCATCTTCACCTTAAARTTTTTGGGCAAAACTGCGGAAAAAAAAGTGAGGAGGAAGGGGAGAAAGGAGAAGAAAAGGCAGCAGAGGGAAGGAAGAGCAGGAAAGAGAAGGAAGAGAAGGTCAGGTGCTGGAAGAGGGGCCTGCCAAGGCAGGAAYGGAAAGGATGGCTCCCTCCTCCACACTGTGCTTGAGTTTTGCCAAGGTCCATGTCCCGGTGCTCCCTGTCCCCGTGCCTAACCCGGGGAGCGCAGGTGGCTCTGTCCCCACGCTCCACGCCTGGGTGGCTGCTGCAGGAACGAGGTGCTGGCTTGGCTGAGCGTGCTCAGGTGAGGAAAAAAAAACCATCCCAGCTCACGGCTTCAGGGCTCACTTTTTAATTTTTAATTTTTTTTTTCTTAAAAAAATATTGGCTCTTTTTTTTCTTTTTTTTTGCAAAAGCTGAAGAAAACGCTCTTCCCACCTGTACAGCGACTGGCCCCCCCACTCCAGGCGCCAGCGACAGGAGGTGTCCGGACTTAACTTAGAAGAAAAGCGGTAAAAGGGACTTACCTGGCCCAAGGCAGAGAGGAGCGGAGGGACTGAGTGTGACACCAGACTGGCTTTGCATTTACTCACGAGCCTGGCTGAGCCCGGCCTGACCTCTCCAGCTCTCTTGCCTCCCGGCACCAGCCCCGGACACAGAGGGGACAGAGGGAGGAGAAACCGGTGAATCCTACCTTGGTCCAGCTGGAACGTCCGATACTGGACGGTCGGGCTGTACGGCCCGGGGCCTTTACTGGTGTGAGCACGGATTTTAACATCATAGGCGGTGTTGGGTTTGAGGCCGTTGAGGGTGTACGAGTTCTCGGGGGAGGGGGGCAGCTCTTTTTCCAGCAGATTGCCGGCGGCGGACCCGGCCTCGCGGTAAGCCACGGTGTACTTGACGATGGCACCGTTCCTCTCGGCCAGCACGGGTGGCAACCAGCCAAACTGCACCGACGCCGCCGTCACGTTGCTCGCCTCCAGGATCTGCGGGTAACCCTTGGGGATGTCCTCGGGGGTGGTGAGCTCCTGCACGGCCTCCTCGCCGAAGCCGGCGCGGCTCTTGACGGCCAGCTTGAACACGTACGTGGCGCCCTTGTGGATGCTGGCGGCGACGTATTTGTCGTCCAGCGCCGAGAATTCCAGCGTGGCCAGAGGGTCGACGTCCTTGCGGCCAAACTGCAGCCGGTAGCCCAGCACCTGGCCCTCGGCGCCCAGAGGGGGCTCCCATTTCACCAGCAGGGCGTTCTCCTCCGTCGGGTGCACCGAGAGGATGGGCTTTCCTGGGACTGGGAGAGAAGAGAGAGATTTAGACAAAGGTGAGGCATGGGAAAGGGGCTTCAGGGGATCCCCAGCTGCAACAATTTCAGATTAGAACCCAAACTGCTGCCACACCAAAAGGTGGACGGGTCCTGAATGTTTTGGGACATGAGGAAGGTTTCCAATGTGTCATCTGGGCTGATGTTCCCTTTTGGCTGGTCTTGGAATTATGGAATTAAGGGGATAAAAGGATTTTGCCTTGGTATTTTATAAGATCCTATTAAGGCACAGCTCTTTGAGGTGCAACACACTGAGATGCCCACGTATACAATTATTATAGACCCCACAAATCAGCAGATCTGTCTAAAATCCCCCAAGAAGAAACTTAATAAATGCTGCAATGCCCCCCAGTTCTGAGGAATCCCCCCCAAATGAGGCCAGAGCCCAGTTTACACAGCGTGATCCAGAGAGAAGGCTTCAACCAAGGTTGGGACCTTGAATTTTGGGACAGCATAGGGCTCACCAGCCTCCTACTGAGGATGTTTGGTTTTTCTGCCCAGCAGAACCCCAAAACTGAGCTGGAATATCAGCCTACAAAAATTACAGACATGTAGGCTAAGGGTATAAAGAATACTTAAAGAATCCAGAAAACATCTAAAAGGGTCCAGAAAATATCTAGAAGGGTCTATAAAATATTTAAAAGGGTCTACCAAATTTCTAAAAGGAGTTTATAAAAAGAAAAGGCAAAAATCATCAGGYGTCACTGACACATTCTTACATTTATTTTCTTCCCTTTGCTCGGGATGGAGAGATGAGTGCAGCTCCTCCCCTGTCCCCGGACCATTCACCCTCCCAGCACTGGGAAGAAAAATCTCAGGAGCCCTGATTGTCCCAATTGCTTCCCAGGGTAGGGAAAACCAAACCTGGAGTCCCCAACCTCCCACTGTCACCTCCTCTCTCCATTGCACAGCTTGTGCAGACGGAGACTGGAACAGATTGGGCCAGGCTGGGAGGTGCAGAGCAGCTGAGGGTGAAGCAGTGGAGGATGGAAGGAGGTCTGGGCAGCCCCAGGTCCTGAGCAGTGGGCACAGGGCCAGCTCCCAGGGCTGGCAGGCAGCTCATGGCCCACTTGGGCACAGGAGGAAGCACAGAARAGCCAAAAATKGGTGTGAGCAGGGAGAGCTGCTGCTCGCTCCGTGCTGTTCCTCTCCTCCGGTGTTGGTGTTTTCAGTGAGCTCCTGAGCTGTCAGTGAGATCCTCCACTTTTGGGGGTTCTGAGGAGCTCTGCAGTCTCTGCCTA